AGGTCAGTCTGACCTGTGTTCCCACCTCCAGCTCTGTGGCTGCTTACCGAGGGCCCTGGCAGGTGGGATGTGGGGTTGTGGTCTGTCCCTGGGAGCACCTTCCCAGCTGGCACGGCAGCAGGTGGGGCAGAGCAGACCCCCCCAGCTCCCGGGCAGTGCCCGCCTCACCCTTCGCTGTGGGAGCAGCAGCAGCAGCTCTCAGACCTCAGCCAGCAATGTGGTGTGGCCAAGGGTTTGCTGATACTGGTTCTGCTTTCTCTAGAAATCTCTTTAATTAAAGTAATTGTTATTGTTCACTTAAGCTTGCCAGCTTAGACCTCATTATGGGGAGAAAAGTTGCCTCTAAGAATGCATGGCTGTGCGTGCATATGGCTTGGGGCTGTGGGCTGCAGCAGAACGCAGGCAGTGCTGTGAGGCAGGTCGTTATCTGCCAGTGCTGGGCTGGGCTTCCTCATTTACAGGGATGTGACCTCCAGAGGACACCAGGACACCCCTGCAGTGACCTCCGGAGGACACCGGTGTCCTGCACAGAGGGAGGCCCTGGAGCAAGCCCCGCTTGGTGTGCTCTAGCTTTTAAAATTCCTAGAGGTTAGAGGGGGTGTAGCTGTGCTGGTTGCAGTGCCTGAAGCCCACCTGCCGTGGGGATTACCTGGTCAGTCCTGCGGCAGGTGAATTACAGGGGGCAAAGCTCCAACCAGCGTGTCCTCCTCGCAGAGCTCACGGGCAGGTGGTGTCAGAAGGAGCTGCTGTGCTGACGGGGCTCCTGCTGCCCGGAACCCACACACTTGCCTCCCCAGGGGCTGAGAGGGCTTGGTGGCCAGGGGAGCACTTTGTTCTGTGAGGGCAGGAGACCGTGGTCCCTCCTGGTCCCTGGTCCGTGCTGCAGCGGGGTGGCCAGCAGAGCCCAGAGCTCTGGGTTCTGTGAAGTTCTGGGATCCGGCTGTTTCTGCTTTCTTAGCTACTTCGTTTCCGACTCAGCAAAACACTCAGGGGTGTTTACAAACTCTTGACCTTTGTGAAATTGAAGCTCCTCGTTCTCTGCTTAAGTAATTTCAGCAGCTCCCCTGCCATGTATCAGAGCATCTTCATTCCTGTGCACCCGTGTTGGCCTGGCTGCGGGATGCCTGCGGTGCCGGCTGCTTTCCCGGCCTCCATCCCCAGCAGGGCAGTAGCAGCAGCTTCTAGACTTTGTTATTTTCCCCACCAGAAAACTGCATTTGCAAAGACCTTGAAATTCACCATTTCTGCCGAGGCCTGGAGGGGCAGGAGAGGCAGCCAGGAGCTCTGTGGTGACCTCAGTGAGGACAGGTGCTGCCCGGGCCAGGCGCGGTGCCCGCAGCTGCCGCGCTGGGCAGCCCCGCCATCTGCCCCGCACCGGGCTCTGCTAATTAATTACTGCTGGGTCCTGCTGCTCCCCTCTGTTCTGTCATTTGCAATATGCAAATGACCCTGTGTGGCACTGGACACGCTGGCAGATGCTAAGCACCACAAGAACTGTTGCTTTCAGAGAAGATGGGGGGCAAAAAAAAAAACCCGCAAGTTGCACATGAGGTAAAGAAAGTGATCTCAGCCTGGCTTACCTGACATGTCATTCCCGTGTCCCTTGGATCCATTCCAAGCAGAAATTTCAGATTCGTTAGCTCTTTACATGACCTCAATTTGTTGCTAGAACTGAGGGGTGGTCATTTATTTTCATCGCCCACAGCTGATCGGGTGCCTTTGTGTTGTACAGAGGAGCTGCCCTTGCTGGACCTTGCCCAGCAGAACCTGCAGAGCTTCCTGATCCACAGAATCACAGGATCACCAAGGCTGGAAAAGACCTTTCAGATCATCAAGTCCAGCCTGTGACCCAGCACCCCCACATCCCCAGACCATGGCACTAAGTGCCACCTCCAGCCTTTCCTTGAGCACCTCCAGGGATGGTGCCTCCACCACTGCCCTGGGAAGTCCATCCCAATGTCTGATCACCCTCTCCATGAGGAACTGCTCCCTGATATCCAACCTAAACCTCCCCTGGAGCAGCTTTGGGCCATGCCCTGTCGTCCTGTCACTAGTTGCCTGTGATAAGAGCCCGACCCCCACCTGACCACAACCTCCCTTCAGGTAGTTGAAGAGAGTGAGAAGGTCCCCCCTGAGTCTCCTCCAGGTAAACCCCAGCTCCCTCAGCTTCTCCCTGTAAGGGTTTCCCTCTAGTCCTTTCACCACCCTTGTTGCTTTCCTCTGCTAAAACCCAAATCCCCCGCATGCACTGGTGGGTAACCTCGTCATAGCCTGGTCATTCCAGCCACGTGTTAAGTTTCACCTTGTAAGAGTATTTCCAAACTTGTAAATGCACCTTGCTGGTTTGGTGTTAATCTTGTATAGCTCTTCAAATGAACTTGGCTGAATCTGAGCACATTACTTTAACCACAGCTACAAATCTGAATTAGCAGTTTTCAGTTAGCAAATCTAAATGAGCCTGGTGTCCTTAGACAAGGCTGTCTGGGGACCCCGACAGTTGTGCTGCAAGTGCCCCGAGCTGCTGTGCCTGTTGGAACCTGGTATGTGGCGCATCTAGATGAGAGAGGTCCCACCGGGACTGGGTGAGTGGCAGCCCGTGGCTGTGCCCGTGGCTGCTGCCTGGAGGTG